AGTGGCTTAACAGTTAAACTTAAGTATTTCTGAACATATAAAATGCACAAAATGTTCAATTTTGCCCTCTCGTGGAGTGGTGAAGTATCCTGAAAACACCTGGATCCACATGGATGGATATGACAGAAGTTATTCAGATATTCTCGTCAACAAACAAGCAGCAGGACATCACGCAGTGTCCTTGATGGAGATAACTATTATCTGTTCTGGATAATCATCAATTTTTTTAACTGACACGTTTTAAAACTTCCATTTCATTCCCTAACCAGGTGGGAAGTGTTGACCCAGCTCGAGACTTCCGCGCTTTGATCAAACAGAAAATTCTTCCGTTCGGAGAAGGTGAGCTCCAGAATTTATTTATTGATTTATTTATTTTTTTCCTGCCTGTACTATAAACCGTAATCACTCATGTACAGCCCCTGTAATTATGTTTATCTCTTTGTTTGGTTGCGGTGACCCTTATGTCCTTCCAGTCTGCCAGCAGCTGACTCACAGGATAGAGCAGTTGCTAAGCAACAAGAACACACAGTACTACATGAAAAGCATCACCTGTATCCAGGCTTTCAGAGAGCAATCCGTTAAGGTAAATAAACATTCACATTGCTCTTCCTTTGGAGGAGCGAATGATGATGCGGTGTTTGCTGTTGGTTTGGCGTTTTTAGGATTATGAGCCTTAATAAGATTATGACTCTGTTTCTTTTCTTGAACACACAATTATTTGCTTATGTGTCTGTATGTAGATTAGAGTTTTTTCAAGACTGTTAAACGGAATTTAAATGTTTTATCTTTCGTACTCAGCTGGGAAATGCTGAACACTACAATAGCTACCTTCAGTCCCTGAAAGGAAGCATCCCAAACAGAGGACTAGAGGTGTTCTGGGAACTGCTCGTTCAAGGTATGATACGCCATTTTAATTAGAGCTGTGGTGTTTCTCCCAACTTCGCAATATCTAACCAAGTCAAGAACACTCAGAAGGAAGTAGGTCCAATCAAGAGATGCCTTCATGAATGGAAAAACGGAGGGTTTACAACTTGGTTTTGTCTTCTTATGCTCAAGAAGAGGATGGCCAAATTAGACTTTGTCAGGAAGCACCTAACAGTGCCTGCAGAGTTCTTTGGACAGATGAAAACAAGATTAATTTGTACCACAACGAGGGACAGGTCATACCACATCATCTGTCAAACATAGTGGAGGCAGTCTTATGCCGGTGGTCACTTGTTGATTGAGGATGCGATTGCTGATAGAAACAGAGTGATCAGTTCATTATCTCTGCTCAGATCCTGTCAAATGCTGAAAACTGATTGAAGAGCAAATTGCAAAAAAAGCAAACTGCAAAAGCAACCCAAGTTTCCCAAGGGAAAGAAATGGGATAAGTCTACAATGGCCACATCAGTCACCATGTCAGTCACTCATTAAAGCAGATTTTCGTTGTTAAATACAAAACTGAAACCAGACAGACCAACAAAAAAGCAGCAACTGAAGGTTGTTGAGGTGAAGGTGTAGCAGATCATCTCAAGGGAGGAAATATAACATTTAGTGATGTCCAAAGCTTCTAGACTTCAATCTATTGGCTTTAAAGGATTTTCAGTATTGAAAACAATCCTTATATTTAAAATTATGTTAGTAAACCAGGTAGTTTTGATTTTTTTTGAGTTAGTTTTAGAATCGAGGGCCTGTATATTTAAATAATTGCAATTCCTAAACTGTTAATTCATAAAAACTAGGAAAATTGTTTAAAGAAACATTGCAAACCTAAAATATTCTGATGAAAATAGTGATTTTTTCATTTTATTTTTTTGCGGAGAGAAAAAAAAGTTTTGCCTCAAATTCAGGCAGTTTGTATCTAACATTGAGTTTGATCAACAGATGGTTTAACGCTGATCAGCAAGGATGAGGTGGAAGGAAGCTCGGTCTCCAAAGCCGAAGCTAATCAGGTGACTTTAATTTGAATTTGGTACACGTATGAATTTGAGATGATCTTTAGTCTCTTTCTTTGACTGAAACTGTTTTTTTTTTTTCTCAGTTTCTGGTTGCTGAGGAGAAGAAAGAGGAGGCAGCTCCTGCACCAGTTGAAGATACTGGAGATGTTGATGACTTGGTAAGCGTGCAGTTTTTATTTCTGACATTTCTTTATTTTTATTTAAATACGTGTTTATGTAACTGTTGTGACTCGAATGGTGTTAAAACCATTTCCTGTGTATCTACATGGGGCGTGTGTGATGTGTTGAGCTCTCAGATATAAACTCTTAGAGGTTGCATGTTTTTTTTTTTTCTCTCTGTGCAGCTGGATATGATGTAAAGAGAAAAAAAGATGGAAGAGGAGTGTTTGCGGTGGACTCCAGAGAAATTAAAAGAATGCACGCTCTCAGTCCAGCCAGACCAAACCAGTTCAGCCGTCCATTGTTCCTTCACTCCCACTTGGAGTCCTGCCATACTTTGTAACTCTGCACTTAATGGATCAACTGTGGTTTACACATGCTGTCTAAAAGTACTTCACTTTAGAAATTACAAAAAATATTCCGCATACTTCAGGCAAAGGCTTTCTGTGTTCTGTTTGAGATTTTAAAAATTACTGCAGTTCTTGTGAGTCTTAAGGTGGTACTTATGTAGTAATTATGGCTACAGTATGCACTGAAAAATAAAGAAACCCTTATAGACTTTACAGAAGACAGAAATGCAGTGCCCAACAAACTGACAGTTTATTATGAAAAATCATTAAAAGCCTTATGGTTGATTAAGAGCGCATGACTTGCATTATATTTTTGTGTATGAAAATACTGATCGATCTTCTGACAAGATGTAGCAAAGCACAATGCTGTGACATCATTTGCAAATTATACAGTGCATAGCAAACTAAACCAGTTTTGTGTTTAAAGCATAGACTGTATAAAAAAAAAAAGAGAACGTTGCCACCATAATGCCAACCTTTGGTTTGTGGTTTGAATCCTTGACTTTAGCACTTTGGAGCCAGAAGTGACCATATTTGGAAAAAAGGGTGAAACGTGAGAAACTCTTGGAGAAAAAACCCTTTTTCTGAGGTGGGAATGCCAATTTAATTAGGGCCATGAGTATGCTGACAATGGTTCAAAATGGAAAAGGTTTTGTCCCACTTATCCATATACACTATATACCAAAGGTATTCACTCGTCTACCTTCACATGCATATGAACTTGAGTGACATCCCATTCTTAATGGTTTATTATTGTCAGCCTACCCTGGGCACCTGTAACAACTTCAACTCTTCTGGGAAGGTTTAGGAGTGTGTTTATGTGAAGTTTCGACCATTCTTCTAGAAGCACATTTGTGAGGTCAGGCACTGATGTTGGACGAGAAGGTTTGGCCCACAGCTCACGAGTTTTTCCACACCAAACGCGCTTATCCATGTCTTTATGAACCTTACTTTGTGCACTGCGAACAGGTGTTCCCTAAACTGTTTCTACAACATTGGGAGCATGAAATTGTCCAAAATATCTTGTGTTTTGTGTTGAGGCATTAAAAGGGTAAGGGGCAAAGCCCCACTCCTGAAAAACAACCCTGACACTTTGTGTTGTGCTTGGAAACCTTCTTCATGAAGCTCTCTGTAGACTGTTGTTGGGCTAATCTGAAGGTTACATGAAGTCTTTAGCAATTGACTCTGCAGGAAGTTTGTGACCTCTGCATGCTATGACCCTCAGCAGCTGTTAATCCTGCTCTGTGACTTTATGTAGCCTACCACTTCATGGCTGGGTCCCTGTCATCACTTTGCTATAATACGACTAACAGTTGACTATGAAATATTTAGTAGCGAGGAAATTTCATAACTGGATTTGTTGCACAGGTGACATCCTATCACGGTACCACACTGAAATTCACTGATGTCCTGAGAGTTTTCTTTCATAAAAGTTTGCAGAAACAGTCTGCATATGGAGGTGCTTGATATTATACACCTGTGGCCATGGAAGTGATTGAAACACCTGAATGCAATGATTTGGATGGGTGAGTGAATACTTTTGGTAATATAGTGTATATTAAAAAAAATCTAGTCCCACTTAAATTGAGTTACACAAGGCAAAGTGTAATTTATGGTCCTGTAAATGTGTCCACCCACCCCAGACACACTCCGGTGCAGGCCTCCCAATATTCTGACTGCACGTGTCTAGAAGCAGATGATGCAAGCGTGTGCCGAATGTTGATTCATTGACAAGAGGGCCAGAATAGAGCAGGGACTGCTAGCGGAAGAATACAACATGAAAAGCACAGACATTGGACACTTTTCATTGTTTTTAAACACTAATTTTCACTTCAGCTCTTTGTATGTTATAAAGTTGCTCTTCTCCACGGCTGTCTGATGTACCAACAGCAGCACAAGCTAGAGTGACCCACAGACTGCTGTACCACATATTTTGCACACTGCCTCCATCTGGCAACAGGCAGACAGGCCATCCTTGGATTGCTACCGGACAGTGAACGCACCACCGTTGCGGGACCATAAATTCTGCTTGAGCTGCAGCTGCCAATGAATTACTTTAACCACTGACAGAACAAGGAAGCACCTAGAGACCCTCAGTTGTATGGCACATGGCTTCACTTTTCAAACATAGTGGGTGCCTGTGTTTCTTTTATATACTGTCTATGGGTTAAAGAAGAAATCTAGTTTATTTCAACCTTGTGTATTCCCCAATCAGTTTGGCCATTGCAGCTCTACAAGCTTCAAGAGGAAACAAGCGCGAGCTCCTGAGGTTATCCAGACAATGTAGTCTTTTAACTTTTGCTTTTGATTCTGACCTAAGCTTAGAATTTAGCTGCCTGGAGTGGACCTGTTGCTAATTGCATCTGCATCCAAAAATGAAAGTGTTGGGATGATTTTCTACAAATTGCTAAAACAAAATCCTGTCAAAGTTTTGTTTTAATTTAAATTTTAGTACACATGTGAGGTGTTAAACAAAGTGGAGGATGAAGTTGGCTCTTGGCTCTGCATGGTCTCAAAGATGGAGAATATCCTCAGAGATATCTGAGATATCCTCACAGGGTAAAATCAAGGACTGCACTATGACCCAGTATAAAGCTGCAGAGAGCACAGTCTTGTTTCACTGTAGGATGCTTTCCTCAATAGAGCCACAACAGCCACATTAATGTAAAATACTATCAGGTTGAAATAAATTTTAATTATCCTTGAAAATGCTGGATTAACAGCTGTAGCACCAGTATTGGCTCACAGGAGCATTCTCTCTCTAACACACCCACTGGATGAAACGATCAAACATACCGGACCTTAAAAAATCTGAGAATTTTTCTGCTTTAAAGATGGCGTGCTGGTCCCCCATAGCCAGCTTTGTCAGGATTTCTTGATCAACATCACTTCCTGTGGCAATCACCGTGGAGACCACCTCGTAACGACGCATGGCACTGATCGCTTCGTCCAGGTTGTCGCTGTTAGTGACACCATCTGTAATGAAAACGAATGAAATCTCTGCATTGGGCCTCGTTTGCCGGGCGCTTCCTCTAACCAGGATGTTGTTGATGGCATGTATGATGCCGGGCGCCACGCTTGAAGAAGAATCTAGATACTGTAAAGCTGTTAAATTGTTAACAATCTGGACAGGGTCATGTGTTAGAGAGAAAGCCACCCGATTCTCTGACTCCTTGCCAAACTCCATCAGTGCCAGACGGGCTCGCTCTCGATCGGTCCTGGTCCTGGCCAGTACCAGCCTGTCTGCAACCTTCTGAACAAATTCACGAACAAGGAGGAAGTTTCTCTCCCCGAGACGCTCTGAACCATCCAATAGAAATACCAAATCCACAGGCCTCGCAACACAAGGTGCTGAGTCAAGTTCTGAAACGAAACAAAAAAGAGCAATCACTTCCTGAAGTGCGTTTCATCATAAACCAATCATATAACTATGAATAAAACCCACCACTTGTACAGGGGAGATCAGGGCACTTAATGACTGGATCTGGTGAGAAATCATAGGTTAGACAAACACACAAGGACTAGTACTGTCAGGCTGCTGAGATTATTGGTACAGGCTTACCAGGACAGAGGACAGTTTCCATCTTTTCTAAGAATTCATCAGCCACCAAATCGCTGTAGCGCCTCATCTCAGTAGCCCGATCCTTCTTGTTGCATGCGATTGACACCAGAGTCTCGCTGTCGTGTCTGGTGTCAAACATGTCCCCTATCCCGATGGCATTCACCACCACAGCGGGGTCGTTGCAGAGGTATGTGAGCTGATTGTCGTCGTCTCGGGGGTCAAAGCGGCCGTCTGTGACCACGACGACGGACACTTTGGATCGGGCTCTCTTGCTGTCCCTGATGAGGTTATCATAGGCGTACTTCAGAGCAGAGGGGGTGAAGGTGCCCCCAGCAATCCACCTCAGATTCTTCACTGCAGTTTTGAATGCAGTCATGGAGTTTATGTTTGGGTCATCGAGACGAATGCTCTCAAAGGTCCCGTTGTGACTGTATTGTACAACTCCAACTCTTGTGCCTAGGAGATACACACATCTTTAATCAGTCTAAAAGTCAAACTTTTACATTTATTATTTCTGTAAATCTTTTTGGAAAAGCATCACAGATAAATCTGTTAGGGGTTACTCGGTAACACCGATGCATTTACAGCAGCACGGCGGTTGCAGGCTTTACTCCAATCATAATTTATAATGTCAGCAAGTGACAAGTGGCTCTGTAGTCTTAACAAGTAAAACATCCCTGGATGAATCACAGTTGTAATATTATTCATTTTCTCTTGTTGGGTATTTAGCAACTTGCTCAAAAAACAACAACAAACTGTTGTTTTGGTGTTGTGTTCTCAGCATGAATATTAATCAACCATTTTTATGTAGCACGATTTGAAATACTTTAGTCTGTAGTTGTTTCTGCAGAGTCACAGTGTTACTGAAGATTGGTGTGTATTTTAATTTCTTTTGGGTAAATCTGTAGAACGATTGCTTGCTTGACGTTACCTGTTGTTGATGTAGGTTCGGGCGCCATAGATCCCAGCCTGTTGATGGTGTTGATAACAAAGTTCTTCTCCAGGGTAAAGTTTGTCAGCCCGACACTCTCTGAGCTATCAATTACAAACACGATGTCCATAGCTCCACAGTGCTTCTCGCAGTCTGAGAGACAAACAACAAGAAGACCATCAGTGCGTTTAAACACCACATTTATGAAGCTGTGTTTGAGTGCTTATACTTTCTTACCGCAGCAACCACACGTCTCTCTGATGTAGCTCATGACATCACATTCCTGCAGTGACATGTGTGCAGATTAAAGTAATACACTGAAGTGAGTAAAGGAATTCTTGCATTAAAATACATCAGTCTTTTTAAAATTTTACTCACAGTGAGCCCAGAATCGCCTGCTGGTCCTGGATCCCCCTACACACACACACACACACACACACACACACACACACACACACACACACACACCACAGAACAATGCACCTGGATCTCAAACTTGCATGCATGGTCAGCTCATTATCTGTGTGGCTGTAGCTTACATCAGGTCCACGTTCTCCTCTAGGCCCTCTTTCTCCTGGCGGCCCCGACTGGCCTGGTTCACCCTAGATACAAACATTTTTACAGTCAATGAAACCTAAATGACTCACAAAACACTGAAAGCTGTGCAAAAACACTGTTGTTAAGGCACAGTACACCCATGCAGCTGGTGTCATGTGATCCTGTGGGACTGCTGTGGTCTGATCATTTGTAATGTGTTTGAACAGGAAACAGCACCTGGTAAAATATCCAGCAGCATAAATGGCATTGTTCTTTGGCCTAATTCATACATATTTTTTATTTACCTTGCCATATTTTACAACTGTCACTGTGAGGCAAAGACAAAGTGATATGCTCACACTCCAGAGACTAAATTCAACCTCATTTATTTGTTTTTTAACACTTAACCTCAAATGACTTGCAGCCGTGTACTGCAGATATTTTCAGTTTCGTCAGCTACGTTTTTGCCTCCATTACAACACAACAGAGGTGGATAATGCTTAGTTTAAGGTGGAAAAAAATCCCCAGCAACATCTATTTCCAGAAACACCGAGCTTTCTATTCTGATTGGTTAAGGTAGAATAAAAACGGTCCATGCAAACAGAATTCAGAATGAACTATTGGTTTCGGGGAGGTGGAATGAAACTTTTCATTAAAAAAATTAAAAAGAAGGAAAAAATGACCAAATAAATGTTTTCACCTGATTACTTTCTGCCCGTGTTATTTCTGTGCATCGTTTTAATATAATGTAATTTGCGAAAACATACTCGTGGTAATTGGGTCATTTTGTGTGATTGTAGAGAGCAAAAACAGCTTGAGCTGATTTGGATTTGTTGAAAATCAGGTCAAGGTCACACTAAATGTGAAAATCTATAAACCTTGCCCTTCTGGGGTTGTTGGACACTCTAAGTGCTCTTGTCTCTTTTAGTTTTAATAAGGAATTGCTCTATATTGGCTTTCTGTTTATCATATTCCCAGATGCTTTTCATTTTCTTTGTTTTTGTATCTTCAGTACCTCATTCACTTATTGGTGAGCAGAGATGGGCAGTAACACGTTAATCTGATTACTTTTTTCAAGTAACGAGTAAAGTAAGGGATTACTATTGCAAAACGGTAATTAGATTACCGTTACTTTCCCGTAGGAACGCTGCGTTACTGCGTTACTAAAACCGTGATTTGTTTGCGAGAATGTCTCATGACAGTGATGTAAGCAAGTGCGACGTTCATGACAACAGCTGTGTGCAGATCAACAATGGATCATATATCGAGTGCGGGAGAGAGTATGAGCGTGCAGCGTTTAAAGCGTGGAAGCACTGACCTTACTTTAAGTTTGATTCCATAAAAAGTGACAAAAACATTAGTGTCCGTCGTGCGTGGGAAGAAAACTTCTTTTTACAACGAAAAAAAAACCCTAAACAAGCACCGAGTGCACTATGACGCAATGGGAAATTCACAGAGAAACTCGTGGATTCTTCAACTGATCGCTGCAGCACACCTGCACCAGGGTAAACCTCCGCCTACCCCACTCCTGCTTTACAGGTGAAAATAGAGCAACAGGACCGCTAGTCTTTGATGTTATTTATTTTCTGCTGTGTTTTACTTGCATCTATTTGAAAGACTGAGTGTAAACACAAAAAAACATTTTATTTTATGTGCTGGAATGTGCAGAAAATAGGTTTAAATGTTAAACTAATTTCTTCAAGTCAGAGAATGGTGCATATAATTTAATTTTTGCTTGATGCATAAAGTTAAAAGATTAAAACTGATAAAACAAGTTTTAAAAAAAGAGACTTTTCCATTTGATTACATTTTGTATGATGGATTATGCAGAAAAAGTAGAATTGGGCTGAAGGATCTATCACTTTATCACTTATTCAGGTTGTAAATCGTGTTTTTAAAAAGTAACTAAGTAAGTAATTAATTACTTTTGAAAATAAGTAATCAGTAAAGTAACGGGATTACTTTTTTTGGGAAGTAATCAGTAATTAGTTACTGATTACTTTTTTCAAGCAACTTGACCAACACTGTTGGTGAGTTTAAATTTATTAGTTCCCTTTGTGATCCTCCTCTGTTCCCCGAGTCTTTCCTCTGTGGTTGTTTCCAGCTTGTGTTGCATATGAGTCTGCATGTTTAGCTGCTTCCTGTCTTAATTTGGTTGTCTTGTGTGTTTTGTGCTCTGTATCTAGTTTAAATTCCCTGCCTCGCTATCCCTGATTTGTTCCGATTGTGTCTTCCAACTGTTTTCTAAGTCTACTCTTGCCCCTTTGTCGTGCTGTCACACAGTGCTGTGTGCTTCGCTGCTCTGTGTTGGCTGTCATAACCATCTGTAGGTTCACATTCTCCAAGAGGTGAGAAGACAATTTTTGGGATGTGTGGACCAACTTTCAGGTATTTTTTGCAGCAGAACAGCATGGACAACAGGAAATTTAAAGTTTGCACATGAATTTAATCAAGGATCTCGTTGGCTTGTTTGCTGACTTAAAGCCTCTGTGGACAACAGTGTAGGCAGCGGATAAGGCCAAGTCTCTCTGTCCTGTCCTGTTTATGAGTGCAAACATCTATAAAAATAAAACTGTACATCATCAGTGGTTTAACAATCGCATCTTACAGGCGCTCCTGGTTGCCCTTTATTTCCAGATTCTCCTTTGGCGCCACAGTCACCTCTGCTCCCTCTGGGTCCTCTCCTACCTGGTGCACCCCTGTCTCCCTTTAAATATCAGAGTTGCTTTAGCCTCAAGAAGAAACATCTTGAGACATGCAGGTCATTTTATGAGGTAAAAAGAAAGCTGTTACAGGCGGTCCCCTTGATCCAGGATAGCTGAAACCTTGCCTTCCTCTGTCACCCTTTAGAAGAAAAACAACGTGGATGAGAGTAAATTATTTACTGATAATCATGAACAGAAATGCTCAGACTTTCTTTTTACCTTTGGTCCAAGTGGCCCAATGTCTCCCCTTGGTCCTGAATCTCCAGGATCTCCCGTCGTGCCCTGCAGCCACAGAAGATAAAATTCAAATAAAAAAAGAATCTACTTGAAAAAGCAGAAAATGATGATTAGATTAGATTAGATGAAACTTTATTAATCCCTCGGGTGGCTTCCTCCGGGAAATTCAGTAACAATGATGATGACAATGATGATAAAGTTATAAAGGAACAAACATTTCGTCCAGGGGCGCCTAGTTCTCCTGGCTGACCCCTCGGTCCCGGTAGTCCCAGGTCCCCTGTCAGAGAGAGAAAATAACAGACAGCCCTTTTTACTGGACTCGACCTTGACTCCAGCCCACACAGGCACATGCAGGATGAGTTTCACTGATGTGGATTTGGCAGTTTCAAGCTAATCATTTCAAATTACTGTATAGTTTCTGATATTTTCATCTGGAAAATAAGTGTTTTTATGATGAAGGCATGGCTCCAGTGTTGAATGTCTAATGAAGGCATGCCAGGTTCTTGGGAAGCCTCTGAGTCATTGCTCATCAAAAATCCACCCACAGCGTGATCTCCTCACCTTAGCGCCCTTGAGTCCATTTTCCCCAGGCCGACCTCTGCTTCCCTCCGGGCCTCGTTCTCCCTCACAAAATAAATGAATGTGTCAGAATTCATACCAAACCATTAATTACTTCCCAATATATACAAGACACAACAGTAACAGGGAGGTAATACTTCTGGCTCAGGGAAATGTCTGAGGAATTTTTCTGAGATGACCGACTGAAAGACAGAACTGTGTTATAGTAGTTGGGATTTCACTATTTCAGTTCCTCAGAATTAAAAACCACAAGCACACTTCAGACTTTCTTCCTCAAAGTTCTTTCTTAATTCATCTTTCTTAAAAGGTCAAAGGAAGCCAGTGTTTCACAGTATTTCAAACCAGCAGCTAAAATGGTGCAATTTTGCTTAAAAATAAGCGGAAAATGAAATGCCATTCATACAATAAGACAATTCATTAAAAAAAAACAATGACAAAAGCTTACCTTTTTCCCTTTTGGCCCAGTGTTTCCTTGTGATCCCTTTATTCCCGGGTTTCCTCTCCTCCCCTATGAATATTTATTTAGTAAATTTCTTTTAACTATTTTCCAAATGGGGATTTTTTTTTCCAAGTAAAAACACGAGTCAAATACCTCTTCGCCTTTTGCCCCAGGTGAACCCTTTCTCCCTGCAAGTGTCAACAGTTTAATTTGAGAGTTGGTTTTGTAACATCGGTTTAGTGCACATGTAAAAAAAATCATAAAATAAAATAAATTCAGGGCTGTACCGGACTCCCTCTTTGTCCAGGCTGTCCTGGATTTCCTTGGTTTCCTCTTTCACCCTAAAAAGCAGACATTCAGTTTTAAAGTAAAGAAAAATCTTTGTTGTGCGCTCAGTATTTTTTCCACTTGTTTTTTTAATTTGAAGGTTACCTTCAGACCTGGATTACCCTTAGGGCCTGGGGGGCCTGGCTTTCCAGGAAGGCCTGTGTCACCCTAAACAAATGCAAAAACAATCAAAAAGAAAAGCCACAAAAAATACATAACTGGACATAATGTAACATTATTAATAACTGAGCTTCAGTGAACTCTAAAAAAATGGTAAATGGCCTGTATTTGTATAGCGCTTTACTAGTCCCTAAGGAAGTGTCTTGCCCAAGGACACGACGACCGAGACTGTCGGAGGCGGGGCTCGAACCGGCAACCTTCCGATTACAAGACGAACTGCCAACTCTTGAGCCACGATAATAAAATAAGTTTATAAGGAAAAAAATGGTCATGTCTGATTGTCTAGTCATTGATTCTGTAGTTGAGTGAGCATGGGCAAAGATACAGTCCCAATCAAAAATCTAAGACTTTAAAAATGCCAAAATATCATATTTTGCATGGTTGGATCTTAACAAGGTTCCAAGTGGAGTTTCAACATGTAACAAAAAGAAATGGGAGCGAGACAGAACATTTTTTGAGCATGCAATTTATTGAAAACAACGCTTAAACTGTTTTACAGCTGATCAAAAATGTATAACTACATGCCATTCAAAGGCCAAATCTGTGCAAAAATGTGGATTCATTGTCATTTTCTGTCAGGTAGTCACACTGTCATGACGTTCTGATGGCAAAAAAAATGTTCCCTTTTTGAATGTGGTCGGGATGTTGAACTGCCAGGGGTGCACATAAGTGGTCCGCAGGTGCGCATGCGTGGTCAAAATAAAAGACACGCACCAGATAAGAAGTTGCAACGCGCATTTGCGTACATAAGATTTTCTGGAAGAGGACAGACATTTGTTTAGAACTCTTAAAGATGTCGAAGAAGCAAGCTCCTTTAAGCAATTACTTTGGTGTTCCTACACCTCCAAACAAATGTCAGAAGGAGTCAGAACCGCAAAAGAAGCACGTATTCTTGGAAAAGTGGTTGCAGGAAATGAGCTGGCTTCAAACAGCTCACTTATGTGCACCCCTGGAACTGCATAAGCAGGATCTCTTGCAGCACGCCATCGCTGCTGAGGTGGGGCGCAGTAAGACTGTCATTTGGAATTTCTTAAATGACTCCTAGCGTTATGGAACAAAAAAGTCAAAAAGTGGAAGACCCAAAGAAATTTCACCAGCACTGAGCTGGAGGATCCAATTGCCTGCCTGTAAAGACACTGGACAGTCCTTGAACCAAATTAAGGCCGTTACTGGTCCTGACTGGAGCCCCATAAACATCAGAATGTAACCTTGATGGTTCTGACGGTTTCCAAACTTACTGGCATGACAAGCAGATCCAACCTGAGATGTTTTCTACGCGCCACAGTGGAGGGGGCGCATTAATGGTCTGGGGTGCTTTTTCCTTCAGTGGAACAATGGAGCTTCAGGAGGTGCAGGGGTGTCAAACGGTTGCTGGCTATGTCCAGATGTTGCAGAGAGCAACATTGTCTGTGTGGTAACAGCTGGGTTTTCCAACAGGACAACGTTAGGGTACACAGTGCCTGCAGGTTACAGTGGTTTTTTGTTTGTTTGTTTGTTTTTTTGAGATGTGGTCCTAAACTGATCAGGCAGTTTAAACATTGTTTTCAATAAATTGTATGCTCAAATTTTTTTCCGGCTCATCCCCATTTCTTTTTGTTGCATGCTGAAGCTCTACTTGGAACCTTGTTAAGATCCAACCATGCAAATTATGATTTCTTTCTTTTTTAGGTCATTTTTCAAGTGGTCTTAAACTTTTGATCGAGACTGGATGTCTGCACACAGCCCAAATATTTAGTCTGAGCTGTGCTTTGGCTACATTCATGACGCATAATTACGGAAATCATCAGTACCAACATTTACATCTGCATGAGCTGTACATGTTGAATGTACTGACAGAATAAACACAAATATGTCAAGAAAAAAAATGTCGAAAAAATGTCTGCCGAGCTGCTGCAGCCGTCAGCTATGTCAGATGATTTAATTATGAAAAAAAGAGCATTTCCTCTTTGTATTTATGTGCTGTCATTTCACTGCATAACATATGTTATGTTTGCATGGCTGGAAAAGGGAGGGGGTTCCTGTTTATGAATACAGCACGATGAAGGTGCTAACATGTCAGCACACTGTTTGGTGGCACATGTTAGGCCACATGTTAACTGCTATTCAGACTAATGTTCAGCTTCTCTGTGATATGCATGTCCAGATTAGGAGTTCTGGAATTTGTGACATTTGTTTTAATATTCATGCCGATGCCCAATTTAGAATCACCCATTAACCAAACACGCATGTCTCTGGACTGTTCTTGTTGTGAGGTGAAAGCGCTAACCACTACACCACGTGCCACGCAATACAGACAAGTATTTTTAAGATCAATTTAAAAAAAGACAAAAACCTAATTATAGCTTTTAAAAAAAATCCTTTAAGAAGACAAACTGAAAGATTTGGATTTTTGCTTCCGTTGTGACAGGCATATTTTAAAATGCACCCACAAATCAATGCACATCTCAGTGTCACAGAAGTGCCTTAACTAATGAGAGCTGTTAAACTCTAATTCACTGGCTGAAGCTGCTCTCACGTTCCCTCATTCGTCTTGAACACGACAGTGTTTTTGGTGGAGGGCTTTTCTGTTTATACTTCAGTTAACGGTCAGACAGCCCACATAAGCCTAATCTATCAATTTTGAGGCAAACGTGTTGCCACAGAAAGGCAATACATAATATCATAATCTAAAGCTCTTATTAGCACAACAGCAAGAGGCTGCACTACCAAGCAAATTCAACATACCATGGATATCTTTCAGTCATTAATCTGGCTAAGCAGTCACACAAAGTCCTTATCAACAGGATAAGTTCAGTCAGGTTTTTCCAATCTAGCTGTGGGCATGTTCCCATGAAAGTGGTGGTGTTGATAGGTCTGCTAGGAGCAGAGGAGTACTTTTTCAAAGGAAGACAAAATCTAATAATAAAAGATATGAAAAGGTTAAACACGCAAAACAGGCAAAAAGAAATGCAGCTGCTGCTGGGCAAAATTTTGCAGTATGAGCGTAACAGGAAACAGGGGCACATCTACAGAGCAGCAGTGGGTGTGTGTGTGTGTGTGTGTGTATGGGGGGCAACAAATTTAATATGACATGATAAAGGAGACTCTCTCTTTCCTTCACAAAACCTTTGTCAACCTCAAGGTAAAGCAGTTATTAATAATAATAATGGATTGGATTTATATAGCACTTTTCAAGGCACCCAAAGCGCTTTACAATGCCACTATTCATTCACTCTCACATTCACACACTGGTGGAGGCAAGCTACGATTGTAGCCACAGCTGCCCTGGGGCAGGCTGACAGAAGCGAGGCTGCCATATCGCGCCATCGGCCCCTCTGGCCAACACCAGTAGGCGATAGGGTAAAGTGTCTTGCCCAAGGACACAACGACCAGGACAGAGAGCCCAGGGATCGAACCGGCGACCTTCCAGTTACAGATACGCTTCCCAACCCCCTGAGCCACAGTCACCCCATTAAAAGGAGTTTGGGGTTTATATTATCTATCTGACTACAGTCCAGACCTGCAGAAGATAAAGGAGACGTGTGGTGATTTAGAGATCTCCAAACAGCTGGTCTTTAAATATTTTTCTCTGACCTTTCTTGGTGCTTGTACCTTTTGGCAATCAGAGCACATTTTGACTGTTTAATAAACAGTCAAAATGTTATGAATCACGGTATCTGTGAATCATCTATGAATGTGTTGCTGTAGCACCAGCACCACATAGGCAGAAAAGTGGTCTTGAAGTAAATATTGACCCTCACACAGACCAAAAGAAAATACATATTAAACCTTGCCCAACTAAAAATAATAGTAGTTGGTTCACTTGACAGAACTTACTGTTTTAACCCGACAGGCCAGCCTGTGCAGGCATTTGGTGTTTAATCCTAGAAGATCACATCGTTCAGCTGTTCTGACACCTGTTAAAGCTAAAGAAATATTAGAAATGGTTCTTTAAGGCTCTGCTGTGCCACCTTTAAGAAGCACACTGAAAATTTCACGCTGTTTTCTAGTGACAGTACTTTCCTTTCATATATCTGGTGGCATGGTGGTTAGCACTTTTGGCGCATAGCAAGAAGGTCCTGAGTTCAATTCAATTCAGCTAAGTTCAATTGTGATCTGCTAAGATTAAACACCAAATGCCTGCACAAGCTGGCATGTCAGGTTAAAACAGTAAGTTCTGTTAAGTGAACCAACTACTAGTATTTTAGATAGACAAGGTTTAATATGTATTTTTGTTTGGTCTTTGTGAGGGTCAATCTTTACTACAAGACCACTTTTCTGAAAAGGTTGGGCTTGTTATTATCAGGTGAATGTGATAACCACTACAGTACGGAAATGACTTCACTAGAATCCATCTAATTACTGTGAATACTTCACTCTAGACTCAAGTGCTGAAATTACCAACTGACCACATACCAAAATGCAATCGTGTGAATATATTTTTTTGTTCACTCTAAATAACACTCTATCTCTTTCAGTATGAACCGAAATGATTAGATTATTGTGATTTAATTCAAACCTTTTCTCCTTTGTCACCTAATAGTCCAGTTTCACCAGCATCTCCTGGGTAGCCATCTGGTCCCTATTAGAGACAAATAAAAGTGTCTCAGTGGTTCATTTAACCAGAAATGCTAACAATACTAGAAAAAGTCAATGTTAAAGAGAATCAGTGAAATACATGCAGCTGTATGGCTGATATAAGTTGTTAAAATGAAACAAAGACATACAAATAAATATTAAATGCTCGACTTACCTTGTCGCCTGGATCACCTTTACAACCGGGAGCTCCAATTCGTCCAATTTTCCCCTGAAGATTTCAAAGGAGCATTCATATAATATCAGTATATTTATAATCAGATTACCATTACAGTAAAAATCTCACCGTAAACACTCACCTTTTGCCCATCAGTTCCATTCTTGCCAGTCGAACCGGCAACACCCTTTAGCGAAGAGATAAAATGAACTTCAGTGCATAAACGCTCTTAATTTTGGATGTTGCGGTGCACGAAGATGAAGCATTAAACTGTTTTTTTTTTTTTTACCTTTGCTCCAGTTAATCCAATTTCCCCCTGTTGAGATAAAACAGACCCATTAGTCCCCCAAAACACTTCCTTCAGTTTAATAAATGAACAGAAATGAGAAATATAAGGATTTTAACTCTTACCTTGTCACCCTTTAAACCAGCCTCTCCCTACGGAAAAGCACAAAAGGACACATTAATGAGATTAAAAATACATCGTGTAATTTTAATTAAATCAGTTAAATAATTTAATTAATTTTAATGAAATAAAATCATCAACGAGTTGGGCTCAGCAAACCTTTGGACCAGGTCGTCCAATTGGACCTTCAATGCCAGGATCACCCTGAAATGTAACAAATATATAACTCAGTAAATAAGAATGCACTTTTTAAAATATATTTAGGTTTCTAGACGTAAATTCTAGGTACCTGTCTTCCTCTTTCACCCTTTGGCCCTTGAGGGCCTCTGTCTCCTTTTGTGCCCTATAAAGATCCAGAGACATACGCATTTCAAAAGATGAATCATTGGCACGAGCAATAATAAAAATGATTGACTTTAATTCAGTTTTTAAGTCTCACTTTTGGACCTGAGGGACCTCTTAGTCCAGGGCGCCCAGGACTCTCGAAACATCTTGGTTTGTAACACTGTGAGATGGAAGAGAAAAACAAAACAATATTAAAAGACTGAAGCCTTTTAAATACCAGAATTATTTAAAGGAAGCTATTCTGCTAATTTCCAACTTCATTGTTTCAGTCTTGGACTTATAGCAGCTTTGCATGAGTGACTGAAACAAGCCTTTTTAGCTCCTTCCCCCTTCCCTTTGTAGCAGTTTTATTCTGATTGGTTGTCTTTGGTAAAGAGAGTATTTGAAAGGCAAGTGGGCGGGGGGAACATATCCTCTCTTTGACTTCACAAACAGCCAACAGTACAAAAAATGTGTGAAACTGACAGGGTTGGATCCTGAGCTTGTGGCTAATAGGGATTACTTGCACATACACTCATTATGTGGAACTTAACATAATGAGTAACCTTCTTACCTGTAAATATGCTTGGTATTTCTGCAAAAAAAAAGAGAAAAAAGACAGCAGTCAGTGAGAGCCACCTGACACAACATTTTAAGGCTAAAAGATGTCAGCTCACCATTGCTTTTACGATACGATCAATGGTTTTAGTGCTTAGTCTTGGTTTCCCATCAACGATTTCCACCGCTATGTAGTCGTCACGGAACAGCTCATACGGAGAGTTCGCTATCTCCCTCATTCCAAATTCATCGATCTCCTTGGACGCTGCTACTGAGAAAATCTGGATCCCTTGATCCCGGGCCTTTTCCGCCATCACCTTGATCCCTGAACATGGATTTCCTGTCACGTAGCCATCAGTGATGACCACAGCGAAGAGAACCGCCTTCGTCTCTGTGTAATGTTGGGTCATCTGGTGAGTCATGTTTTTGAGGGCACAGTCGATGTAAGTGCCTTTGCCCAGGTATCGGATCGAAGCGAGATTCCTGATGAAGTTCTCTCTGGTTGTGAGCTGGCTGAAGACCACCTGCTTCTGGGAGAAGTGCAGCCCACCTATGGACCAAGTGATCTGGATATGGCCCCTGTACTCCTCATCAGCCAGCCTCTCGGCAAAGATCTTTGTGAATTCTCTGATACTCTCCACCAGGCTGCCAGGTGGGGGCTCCTGCAATGCGATGGTTTCTGAGGTGTCAATAGTGAAGTACACCCTGATGGGACAGTCGATTATACCTGCTGGAGGAGAAGACAGCTGTTACTTTTAATTAGAAAAATAATGAAATTGTTTTTAGATGCTGAAATGCATCACTTTCACCCTAATTATTTAATACTTGAAACATCATAATAAAAAGCAGCAAATTAATCTGTGTAGTTTGTGTCCTGGGCTGGTTGATTTTGCCAGGTTACACAGATAGAATGAAAATGATGAAAAATGTGAGGACTATAAGACATTTATGTGTTGTGCTGCAGAGATCTAACTACTACATGCTAAATAGATAGCACAGGCCTCTCAGATTCAAATTTTGCTGACCGGACGTCGTGTTTTTCTTTTTTAAGTCTATAAATGTAAATCGTGGTCACTGTGCAAAAATGACTGAAGCTATTTTTTGAAAAGGGACATGAGGGGAAATAACTGGTCAATCATCTGGCTTAGTTTTTGTTTGTTTGTGTTTTTTAGCTGAGCACAGCAAACCAAGATTGTTTAAGATTGTGCAGTCTTGCAGAGGAAAACACATGTTCGCTAAAACGTGTAGAAATTAAAGAGCACATAGGAGCTGGAGCCTTTGCTTCAGGTTATAGAACCATCTTAATATAACCACCTTATTAGAACCACCTTAAGTAGCAATAGCTTGAAGTAATGATTTTTGGTATGATTTTATCAGTCTCTCACATCATCGTCGACAAAATTTGGCCGCTTATCTTTACAGCATTGCCTTTACTGAGGTTTGCAGGCATTTCCTTCTGCACAGCTTGTTTCTACCAGAGCATTTCAATCAGATTAAGGTCTAGACATTAACTGTACCATTGCAACAGCTCCATTCTTTGGTTTTCTCAGCCATTCTGTTGCAAATTTACTGCTGTGCTTCCTTTAGCTGAGCTTTAGCTGCATGCTGTCACACAGGTATCCTCACATTTGACTCTAGATTACTTTGGTATACAGAGGATCCAAATACTTTCACAGCTGAATCAATTAAAGTCAAAAAACAAAAAAAAAAAATTACCATTATTTTAACCCAGAAAGAAATTAAGGGAACCTTCACCTTCACAGCCTTCAGGTCTTGGTGTGGGTTCAGGCAAGAGTGGAGGTACCGTTGGCTCTGGACTGTCACCTCGCCCCGGTATTGGTCTGGGTCCTCGAGGTGTAAGTTGAAGGTTTACAGTTTGGACCAGCAATACAAAGACAAACCCTGAAAGCATTGTCATTTTTTTCTGAAAAGAAAAGAAAAGAAACAAAAAAGAAAAACCCAAACAAGACAAGCAGGGATGAATAAAACTGTTCTTCAGAGATTATTTTTGACTGTAAAGCTGTAACTTAATGCAGGAAATAGCTGTCAAACATGTGAGTGTTCACAGAAGGCGTCTACACAGCGCTTAGGAATGTTTAATGTTGTTTTAAGTCATGTCAGTGAACAACCGCACTGTGTGGAAACAGAAGACAGAAGAATGTTTGAAACTGCATGTTTCATCCCACCTGTTTAATTAAACTGAAATCAGAAGGAGCAGGAAAGATTCTGTGGAACTACCATCCCACGAGAGTTACTGTTTGATAAGAGCTGACAAGACGGTGGTGTGTTATTGCTGGTGATAATTTACAATTTGTTTTCTGGAAGTGGAAAATTCCAACAGCATAAACCAACATCAGAAATGACAAATGAATAAAACTCAGCTTAAAACTGCTGGTTAGTGCAACTTCAGTCTGCAGGAGGGGCTTCCAGACTATTTCATGTCAGGAATTTCAAATACAAAAAAACAACAAGATAAAAATCCAACCTGTGGGCGGGGGTGCTGATGTTGATGTTGCACAGAGATGGAATGTAACTTATTTGGTTTAATGCTTCCGCTCTATCACGTCCCAGAGGGCATACTGAACAGTTTTATTCTATTAAAATCATACTGTATTTACACGCTACTTCACATAGCTTGCAAGTACTGAGTTAGGCCCTCTTTTACCTTCAGGACTGACTTAATTCTTCACGGCATGGATTCAACAGGGTGGTAAAAACAATCCACACAAGATTTTGCTCCATATTTAACTGATAGCATCACATCCAAATGCTGCAGCAGGAATAAACTCATCAGACCAGGCAATGTTTTTTACGATCTTCTATCATCCAATTTTGTGCAGGAAAATTCCAGTCAACAGTTTTTTAAACACTCAGATCCTGTCAACAACAACCATGCCATGCTCAAAGTCAACTCTCTTCTCTGTTACCACACTGCACTTGCACTGAAAGCTGCCCAATGCATTCTGAATGCTCCACTTACTTTATTAACATTTCAATGTCAACGTGATCAAAAAAATAAAACAAATAAAAAGTAAATCAGAAACGCGACTCTCTGGTAGAGCAGTCCTGTTTAATTTTATTAGATTATACATTATACAGATTATACCTAACAAAGTGTCCTGTGCCGATGCTTAATTGTATTGTTAAATCCTTTATTTAAACACATTGTGTGCCTCAAACGTAGCTTGAGGCACACAATGGCAGAAAAGCCACACACAGGCACACAAAAATAAAAATCTATCCACTTTATACACATTTAGAAGTTAAGAAAAAAACATGTGAAGACTGATTTCAGACACAGGCCCAATTATAACCTTTAAAACGTAATTTCATGTTTTATGCAGTTTCTTTTCTTTTCTTTTCAAAATAAACATGCAATATAATATATATAAGCATTTAATGAAAATTAATTTATGTTGTCATGTTAAGTGGAGTACTACAGAGATGGAACACCTTTTTCTTTTCTGAAAGAAGTCAAAAAAAAGTTTTTGTTTTACACCACAGAGAATCTAAATATATTCTAAAATTCACATTAACTGTAGGGAAAAAAAAGAGGTAACCAGAAGATTAATTTATACGGTCTATCAGTCGGTATAGCGTGCAGTACAACCCTTTAAATCTCCGGTAAATTTAAAATAAAATGTAGGCTGCTTACCGAGAAGACGGAAAAGAGAAAGTAAACTCCAAGCTGCGATTAGAGACCTACAAGATATTCAAGCAATTTGTACAGATGGTAAACCTGACACACCCGTCTCAGCGGGACTGTTCCCAATAAGAAAACATTAGAGGGGGGATGGAGGGGCAGCTCTGGGTCGTTTGCGAACGAGCGCTAGAGACGCAGGCGTCACTGGAGAAAGAGAGATGTTCAGATGATTGTTTGCTGGCAGCTGGAGATCAGCAAGGTCTCCAGGACAGGTCTGGAGACTTAAGAGGTTTCGAATAAATAGAAAAGGCTGAAATAAGCCATTTATCCACCTGATCAGACGGATTCAATGTCAGAGTCACAGCAGATTCTCTCTAATGGCAGCTTTACAAACACATCAGCTCCCAGTGCTACATATCCTTACATGGAGACAGCTGCTCACACTCACCCCCTCTGTTTATGTTTCAAGGCTATACAGCGTGAGAGATGTCATGCTGGAATTTAAGTGCAGAAGCTTTATTCTTTTTACCATACTTTCACTTTATCCAGTTATTAGATCAGACTGTTGAAAGGAAAATCAAATGATGAGTGTTTTCTGCCTCCAGCCTGTCAAAGATGAGGATTGACTGCTTTTCTTACTTTAAAATCAAAGAGACCCTGAATTAAGACAAAGAAAGATGCTGACAATGTGAAAACCGAGCATGCAGCTTACTTTAATTAGCACGTTTTTGTTGTTTGTTTGTTTTTAAAGAAATGTTCCTATTTCCATTTTCTGGGTACATTTTCATGAGGTCTAATTAAAAAAAATGTATATATTTAATATATGGAGGCGTGTTTGCATCCACATATACCTGGTCTTTACCTGTAGTTCAGTGAGAAAGCCAGCATCCACCGGTCCTACTTTGGCAAAACGTCCTACCGTAAGTAGTTTATGCACATTTCTGTTGTCACAGAGTAATTCCAACACAAATTTAAGTAGGTATTACGGTTTGCCACTTAACTTTTCCCATCAGACTATGCTTGTAGCTCATATTCATAAAGCCAGGACGGTTTGCCACTTCATTTTACCCGTTAAACTATGCTTGTCGGTCACATTCACAAAGGTAGCATGGTTTGGCACTTTACCCATCAGAGTATGTTTCTAGCTCATATTCACAAAGGTAGGACGGTTCGCCACTGGATTTCGTGTTGTGCGCATGCGCAGAAACAACGGGTAGGGTAGGATGGATTCCTAGAACACCCTGTCAACTTGGCCACAGTGTGCCCCACTCAATTAATGGCTTACCTCATTGTGAACCATTCAGACATCGAAGGAATAAACATTTTTGATATTGAACTGAAAATAAGTCAGTTTGCAGATGACACAGTAATATTTTTAAAGGATAAATCAATACTCGAGAAAGCATTGAATGTCGTTTCAATTTTTTCTAAAGCTTCAGGCTTGTGTCTGAACCTAAAGAAGTGTGAACTTTTGCCACTTTATGATTGTTTGGAAAATAGCATGAGGACGATTCCAGTGAAAAATGAAGTTAAGTATCTAGGCATCTATTTAAACAAAGACATCAACACTAGAGAATCAAAAAACCTAAAAGACAAAATTGATGGCATGTCCAAAATACTAAATCATTGGTTGACGAGAGATATTACAATTTTTGGACGCAATCTATTATCCAAATCAGAGGGCGTCTCAAAGATGGTTTATCCAGCATACTCACTATACATTACCCCGAAAAGTATTAAAAAGATTAACTCTATAATCTATCAATTCATTTGGCGCAATAAAACACATTACATTAAAAAAATCACAACTTGTCAAAGATTACGCTAAAGGTGGTATAAAGTCAATTGATTTTCAATCAATGGTTGGAGTATTTAAAATAAACTGGATAAAAGCCTTCCTCTTGAAACCTGACTCCATATGGTTCCATATCCCAAAAAATATTTTCAAAAAGGTGGGAGGGTTGGATTTTCTCCTGAAATGTGATTTTGATATATTGAAGTTGCCTGTGAAACTGTCAGAATATCATAAGCAGGTCTTGTGTCTTATTGGAAGATGGTGTTTGCCCATAACTTTTCACCACATTGCTCCACCTTGTGGAATAACAGAACAATTACAATTAATAAGAAGTCATTGTTTATTAAAGAGTGGTTTGAAAAAAAACATAATCTTTATAACAGACTTACTTGATGAAAGGGGTCAGTTTCTCTCAGTGGGTGTTTTTAATGCTAAGTTTAACATTCAGTGTTCCCTTAGAGAATATGACAAGGTTTGTAAGGCAATCCCTTTACCTCTGTTGAGTTTGATTCAAGGTTATTTGTATTACTCTAAGGCACAAATTAGTCTACCTTCTTTACATCTAAACCAGATTCCTTTGACGGATAAAAACTGTAATAATAAAACCATGAACAAGATATTTAAAAACAAATTATTTCACGACTTTAACAGTAACACAAAACTAAAAGGGAGTAATGTTAAAATAACGAACAAATATACACACTTTTTAAAATGGCCCATCCCCCCCAAAGTCAAAGAAATGCAATTTAAAATAATTAATGGATATTACCCAGCAGCTGAAATGCTTAAAAAAAGGTTTGGGTTTGAGGTAGAGCCATGTGGATTTTGTTCACAAAATGTGGAAAGTATTGATCATTTGTTTTTTTCCTGCTCAGGAACAACTGACTTTTGGCAAGATCTAGTAGACTGGTTGAGTATAAGAATAGATGGGATGAGCCCACTGACTCGAACACAAGTTTTATATAATAATGGTGATCCATCTAAGGAACTGTCCATGCTACACAAGGTGGTGATAATTATGGGCAAATACCACATACACAAATGCAAATGGCAAAGTGAAAGACCTTCCCTAACTGTATTGAAAATTGAATTAAAATCTTTTTTTGTCATCTTTAGAATTACTGAGGGATTCATGTAAAGAGGCTGCTTTGATATGCGACAATGGGACTCAATCTCTATCCTTTTAATGATTGTGTTTTTGGTGTACTAAGTAAGCCACATGTATGTTAAAGTGATCGCAGAAAGGAAACTGTTTTATGTCATAAAAATGGCCTTCATATATTTATGTATATGTATATATGTGCTTTTTGTTTTTTTTGTTTTTTTCCTATTTCGTTTGGTTTCTTATTCAACCTATTCAAGATGTTGTTGCACTAATGTTGTCTCCCAACGAGAGATTGTAATATGTGCATAAATTTAATTAAAGTATTGGGAAAAAAAGAAAAAAGAAAAAAAAAAAAAAAAAAAAGGCCACAGTGACATGCCCTTCACATGAACGTGGACCCGCTCATCAAACCTTTGCTCCACAGCGCCACCAGTGGTCAAAACAAAGCAGTTTAATTTTTTCGTTAAATTTAAGCTCTCACGGGACATTTTATTAAGTACACAGTACCTAGTACCGGTTTGACCCCCTTTTGCCTTCAGAATTGCTTTAATCCTTTGTGGCATTACAACAAAGGGCATTTTACATCACACAGCTGCACATGCGTGATGTGAATGTCCTGTTCAACCACATACCAAAGATGCTCAATTTGACTGAACTCTGGTGACTCCACATGCCATTTGAGTTACACTGAACTTGTTTTCCATGTTCAAGATGACATTTTGAGATGATCTGAGCTTTGGACAACAACAGCAAGTACGATGGTGTAAGATAAGGATGGTAAGCAACAATACTCGGGTAGACTGTGGCATTTAAATGATGCTCAGTTTGAACTTCAGCAGGTCGTCTTCACCATGTCTAAATGAACTGAGTCGCTGTCATGTGACTGAAATGATCAGGCCAATAAAGTGGCAGACGAGCAGATATTTTCATTATTATTTTCCAGTTTTAATAATAATTTGCAGGTGTGCTAGCATCAGCAAAAGTATATGTCACAGTCAGTGGATAAAGACAAAGTTTTCCTATTTGCAGAACTGAAGAAGCTTCTCGGATGAGAGGTGAAACGTCTTCAAGCAACTTAAAGAAGTCCAGACGCTTTTCTTTGCAAGCTCCTTTGACTATTTGCTGTATAAGGTCACATAATCTGTGAGATGACAAAACAAACACTGGAGTCTGCAGGACTATTTGGACCGTAACTTTATACCATGAAAACGTGGCCCACCAGAGGTAAAATCAGCCATGCACACACCATTTAAGTGGATAAAAACGAGTGAGTGGGCTCAGTGTCTCTTAAAAGTCAAGCCTAATGCAGTGTCTTAAATATGCATTCCTTACAATGGCCAGCAGGGGGATACTTTGGTTGCACAATGAAATCAAATTGTACAGAAACCTTTGGGAAAATGACCTTACTGCTCAGTTATACTATAACCTCAGTAATCAGTTTTAAAATTGGATCATGGTTTCATTGCATTAAATAAATATTTCATATTTGTGGTCAACCATGTTGGATACTGTAGAGACAAACATGGTATTCTTAAGAGGAGTGGCTACCCCGTGATTGATTTCATTAAATGATAAACACCTTAGTTTAAGTACTTGATATATGTTCTGCATTTTACTGTGAATACAATTTGGGTTTATAAGATGTGAAAATCACTGCATTCTTTATTGTCAAATGCACATTTTACACAGTGTCCTGACTTTGTTGAAACTGAGGTTACACATCTGGGATGAAAATCTCCATAAAAAAAACATGTGTACTTATCCAACAGTCCATTAAAAACCACATAAAAAAATCCAAAAAATAAAATAAAAATTTTCTGATGCAGAAAGACCCGCCGGGACTTTGAGACCTTATATACTTTACTATACCATATTATTATAGTATATATTAATAATATACTACATAAATTATTGTGACATACAATTTCAATTGAATTATAAGTTAGCATCATCATTATACTTTTTAAAGTTCAAAACTTTTAAAATAAAATTCTTTTTTAAAAAAAAGAAATTCTTTAGAAAAACACTGGAAAGGTTTAGAAGATACTCTAAACTCTTCCTGTGATAGCATCCATTTGTTCATCATGATGCAGTAAAGATTATGAATCTTCTATTCTTTTGTCTTCAGATAACGTCCAGTTTCCAGGTAATAATTCGGACAGCAGTGAATCAGGGAAGTTTGTAGTTTTCTGTTCACTGCAAACACGATGTCTCAGCATCCAACTGGAGTTACAGCACATCTGCAGGTGGAAAGAAATTAGTGTAAAATATTATATTATATATTATTATATAATATATATATTATATAATAATATATAATATATATATATATTATATATATAATATATATATTATATATATTATCTCACTGATAATATATATTATATATATTATCAGTGAGTATACCATTCTCATTGTTCTCTGTTATTCTCACCTCTTTTTGGACACAGAGTCTTTCTTTTGACATAAATAACTATAACTATAACTATGCCAATAACTAAAATCGTCAACAAGCAGCCAATGATGATTGGGACCACATTATCCTGATCTTGTTCTTCACACTGAGCATCAGTTGTAGCATTTCCTGGTCTTATCAGCTTAAGGTTTAGGGATTCACATCTGGAAGGACAGAGAGACACTTTACAGGAAAATGTACAGATGTGCCACAATCACTGCTGCTGGAACAAATCAGACGTGTCTGTATCTGCTGTAAAGCTTCACTTACGGTCTGTGTGGCCGGCAAAACTTTAAAGTCCCATCTGAAAATGTCCCATTGCTGCAGTCAGAGCACTCAGTGTCTCTGAAGGCTGTTCCTGCACAAACATGATGTTTACACCATTTTCAGCATGTACATCACGTAGGATCAGTGAGTGACTGTGACATCGGAGTAATTACACGTGCCAGGTGACTCCACCTTTGATTCTGATTTAAAAAAATTTAAAAATACAAATATGATCCTTCTAAACTTTACTATAAAGTTAATAACACCTCATTCAGAAACCACTGCAAGTAACAAACAGATTATTTCATCCAGGTTATTTACACTACAAGCATAAGAAACCAACCTGTTTGGCTGATGTATTCTCCTGGTTGACATTGCCTGTGTTTGTGTGCTGCCATGCAGCTACCAGCTGCGACGTCAACACAGTAGAATCCATCCTCTGGTTTACAAACTGTATCTAATGTTGATGTGCATGTCCTGTTCTCCTTCAGACCAAAACCTGTGAGCATGTAGAGAGGACACATCTTAGAGAGACAAGGCCGCGATGGTTTCTACACGTGCAGGGAGGGATAGGGAATATACACTGGACATAGGATGTTGAAGATGGAGGTTTCAGGTAGGAGGAGGAAAAGAAGAGCATAGACAAGATTCATGGATGTGGTGAAGAAAGAGATGGAGAGATGGTGTGAGAGAAGAGGATGCTAGGGATTGGTGAAGAATGAGCCAGAGGGGTCACTGCTGTAGTGACATTATGATGTCATTCATCAAAAGTTACTTAAGATTATTTTTGATTGATTTACTAAAATTTTGTAATAATTGACAGATTGAATGATTTGACATATTAATTAAAATAATACATTTATAGAAAACGTTAATGAAATGATGCTTCATTTTATTTAGGTGGAAATCTAAAGGTTAAGTGGAGGCAACATCATATCGCAGAGCGTGAGAGCTGATCATGAGTTCATGTGGAATATCTTGAGGCATAATTACTTAATCAGTTAGTGTGTTAAACATGTCGCCAGTTTGTCACATTCATTTACATGCAGTCATACATGTTGTAAATCAATGTCAAACCATCTTTAACTGTATTAATTCTTACATCACATTAACAGCAGAACATGCAGTAACAACTTCCCTAGTTTCATAAATAAAAACCTACTTAGGTCACAGATTGTGCAGTGAGTGCATTGTTTGAGTCCACTGGGCTTATCCATGTGGGTTCCACCCTCGCAGGCCACACAGGAAGTGTGTGCAGTCTCTGTGCAATCTGTCTTGACTCGATTTCCTGTTATAATAAAAGAACGGCAGACTATTTTCAATGCATATTGTTTTTACTCATATAAACTGTGAAATCTTTAGAGTTATAAAGGTATGAAGTTGAACTTTTACATACAGAGAGACAGTAAAGAGCAGGACTCCATGTTTAATAACCAAAGTAAAATCAGCCTCTAACATTCAGCTGGATCTTACCTGCAGGACACTTTTGACAGCATAGGTCTTGTGCTTGATACATTGTTGAAGAACACGAGAGAGTGAGGACACTGAAGACTTTCATCATGATTAACTGAAAACAAAGAAAAAGGAATACATTTAAAAGTAGAAGCACGCTTCAAACTGAGAACTAACAGAGAGGAGCAGGAGGTGGAAAAGAAGAAAGATATGAAATGAAATGCACAACAACCTGAAAATGAGAGCCGATGAGTGAAGAAGGAAGATAGTGAGGATTATGATATCAATTTAAAGGAAAAGTAGACAGTATGGGAAATTACATCATGTAATTCACAAGGTGAATTAAACACATGCAGAAGTGATTCAGAAAATACTGAGTGGGTTAAATAGTTGCAGACAAGGAAAAATATTAAGTATGAATTAGTTACATTAAAAAAAAAGAAGCTTTTTGTAAGTTTGTATGAAAAATATTTTACCAGCAACACTGCAGCTGTCAAAGAATTTCCTCCTGAAGTCATTTTATACAGCAGAATGAAGACTTTCCTGAACTGAAGACCGTCTCACTGAGATTTGCAAGGAGATGAGCTGTATGATCTAAAACAGCAGGAGAACATCTGAAAAAAAATATGTAAGTGAGCAGCAGGAAACCTGGTTCATGCGGATATTAAAACCTTATGGTACAGGTTAAAAAGTAGTATCTTGTTGTTTGTTTATCATAATTAACCTCCTAAGACCTGATCTCTTTCATGGCATGCATTTTTAATTTCTCTTTGCTATTTGGGCTGAATGGGACCCGATGGATGTAAAAACAAAGAATTATCTTTTTACCTGGTTTTGCCCTACAAGGGCCTCATATGCACATATGAGGACATTTGTTTTTAATTTTAAAAACAAATGTCCTCATATGCACATATGAGGACATTTGTTTTTAATTTTAAAAACAAATGTCAGTGGATATCAGTGGATATCAGTGGATATCAGGCCCTTGTAGAGCAACATTTAGTATTGTGGTCTAGACAACCCAAAATGTGATGTTCACATATGTGGATGCCAGGTCCTAGGAGGTTAAAGAAAAAAAATATTTAAAGGAACAACATATTGGGGTGAGTGAGCATAAAGTAAAGTTGTAGCATAAAGAACAAGAGGACATAAAATAAAATTGTTGTTTCTGGTTCCCTGGTCCGTATTACAGGAAGCGGGTTTACGGCAGGAACCTACCTGCAGATGTTCTTTGACAAAGTCTTCACTTGCTGTTGCACCTGCAGCTTGTTTAAGGTGTACAGCCTGTAAGAACAGAGACAGTGACGACCGTATATTGTGGATTCACTACAAAATCTATAGGATACATCTTTCCAACACTGATAGGCAGCTGTCAGGTTGTCAGCAAGTTCCTCTGCATGAAAGCATTTACCATAAGCATTCAACTTTCTTGGTCCATAAGATTAAAGTGAGGGCTCAGCTCTTTATTTGCCTGATGACGGAAAGCTTTCACTCATTACATACAGATGTGCTTGAATCAGCTCACTTAATTGAACTAATTTTAATCAACTCTTAAGGAAGTCAAAACTCAGAGTTAGTCATCTCAGATTTCATCATTTCAGAACAGGGCCCTGTTGTTTGACTCATATAATATGCAGAGACCACTGAAGAACTACAGTTTTATGGAAAATTGTTCAAAGGAATGATCTTGACTTTATTACAGCTAGCATATTAAAGTCGCCGCCCTCTTTCAGCTGCTCCCTTTCCAGTCCCTTGCCTCCTCCTCTGACACACCAACCCTCCGCATGTCCTCCTGCTACACCCATGAATCTTCTCTGAGGTCTGCCTCTTCTCCTCCTCCCTGGCAGCTTTATATTCGACATCCTTTGTTCAGTACATCTAGTTTCTCTCCTTTGCAAATATCCTCAGCTCTGCCTCTCTAACTTTGTCTTTCAAAGCGGACCCTCTGATGTACTCTTTCCTCCCTCCTAATAACAATATTAACATCTTCAACTCTCCAGCTCAGTCTCCTGTCATTTTGTCAGTACCACCATCTCCAAACCATACATTATAGCGGGTCTCACTACCATTTTGTATACCTTCTTATCACTCTCAACAGCATCCATGGGACGAATGAAGTTAGGTGAATCTGAATCATTTGCTATTATCTTTCTGTCACAAATCCCCCTAACACTCATCTCCAACCTGCCTGCACCGACTTCATCACTTTTCTTGTGCACTGTACATTGCTATGGATATTTGACTCCAGGAAATTAAACTCATCTACCTTCACTATCTCTATGCTCACTTTCCCACCTTCCTCACCTGTCATTCTCGCACATATTCTGTCTCCAGAGAATACCCCCACCTCTCCAGGCTCGCTTCCACTTTCTCCCTACTCTCAGTACACATACTTCTCTTCTCTTGGCACCCATCATATACTTTCTCTAGATCCACGAAGACACAGTGCAATTAACTTCCCCTTGGTCATCAATACCAAACTATTAAATCTAATAATTATATCCGACAAAGTTTTTGCAGAGATCAGTTTGGTTTAGATAAAAGTCTGTATTGTTTCTTGTTACAAAGCATTGCTTGAACAGGACTTTGGTTACTGTTTTATTCACCGTTCACTTTCTACGGACCTGCTTTCTCCACTATGGTCCGCAGCCGCATTACAAACAGCCGAATAGCTGCTTCGTTTAACAGCCTGTAACCAAACATTCTGTAGAAGTGATCTAAGGAACTTACCGTCAGCGGTATAAGACGAAGTTCGGAGAGTCTCCGTCACAGCGCACCGTAGGCTGAATAGTTCAAGACGCACTGGAAAGTAAACATCTGCCGTTTCTTGAAAATTAAGCTTTCAAAAACAACGGCTAAGCTTCAGGGAGAAAGCGAAAGTGCGCAGAACATGCAGAAGAGAACAAACGCGCAGTCCGTCATGACATTATATGGCCGGTTTCTTATGGAGGAGTGTCGAGTTGGGAGCGGTCGGTGGGTAATAGTGCCAGAGGCAAGGTACACCTTGGGCAAGCTGCTTGTTTCATGACCCAAACAATTATTCACACTCACATTCACATCTATGGACAATTGAAAATTTTGGGTCCAATTGTAATTGATTAACGCCACATTTGATTGAATGTTTAAGGATATGTTTATTTAATTCATTATGGGACTCGTAGACCTCCATATTTTCCTACTGTACTTTCATTTTTATATGACCTCTGTGAGGTAAAAGTGGCTGTCATACACTATGATGAGCTGGAGCAGACTAATTCTGAGAGTCTTAATGAACTTTAAATGAGCTTTAACTCTTTAAAATCTCTTCACAGAGCAAACAGATGCTTTTCTCATATATATTGGTACTCTTAGAAATGAAAACATTTAGTATAGATGAAGAAAAACAGAAGTCTGTCGGGTTGCGTAATTCTGAACTCTTGTCTTTCAGTTTCACTTTGTTTTGCTCAGTGTAAACATCTCTAATGGCAGAATACACCTTACTATTACCTTACTACTAATAAACCTTACTATTCATTTCTGAACAGTGATCAGCCCATAATGGAAAGCTTGTGTGCCTAAATGTAACTCCATGACGTACAGAAACATTACACACACTGATGTCAGTTGCTTTTTTAATGTAATAACAAGTTCCTTAAACTGATGTGACTTTAGCTGTATTGTGAATGACATGAATCAGCTTTGTGCTCCAAAATAAGAGGAAATAAACTGTATAATATAAAAATGAACTTTTATTGCGCAGAATTACATAAATAAAATATTAAAAAAGTCTTTTCTTCAGCTTCTTTAGATTGTGGTATGATCTTTTGCTGTCACTCAAAAAGCTCAGTCACAGCAGCATCACACCGAAACAGTGCACATGAATTCAAATGTATGGGATGAAGCTCCTGTTACTAATGCACTATATCACCTTCATCTGATTTTAGCTGTTATCTGGAAAAAACCTATCCATTTTCTATCATCCACACTGAAATATACTTTGACCTAATAAAATATCATTTATTTGCCTTTCTTTGGTATGTTTTTGGTATGATACTTGAGTATGTTTTTACTTTCTGCTTTCACACCACTGAACAGACTGAAGAGGACTAGAAGCTTTCCTAGCTGACATGTATAAATGCAGCCTTTTCCATTTACTGCTACTTTATACAGTACTTTTATTCCTCTACATTGCGCCATCCATTATCAGAGAGGCCTCAGTTTCTATTGATGTTAGGCACAATGTGTGATGTGGTGGTTAGTAATACTTGGGCACCACAGGGACGGTCCAGTCTCCATTCATGTTCACTTTGTACACCTCAGATTTTCAGTGCAACAGTGAATCATGCCACCTGCAGAAGTTCTCTGATGTCACTATAGTGAATGGGCGGGTTAAGGGTGAGCAGGAGTCGGAGTCTAGGGAGCTGTCGGGGAACTTTGTGGAGTGGTCGGGTAAAAATCACCTCCTTAATGTCAGCAAGACAAAAAGAGCTGGTGGTTGACTACTGGAGGAAAAAACTGCGACTAGGTGGATCAAGCAGGTGGGGTCTCTTCTGTTAATCTTCATATAGTTTCACACTGAGGAGAGAAAGATATTCAGTTAAATAGCAAACCTCTTGTACGTTTGCAGAGACATCAGGCAGTGCAGGTTTGAGTGGATAACTCATGGCCATCTTACCTGGTTTCTCATTCAGTATTTTCAGTTCTATTTCTGTTTCTTTTTCTTCATTCTTAGTAAAAAACAAAAAAACGAAGACATAATTACTTTGATAAATCAGGTGTTGCCATCCGTTACAGTCCACACTCCTGTGATATTCAAACATACCTTCCTCAAGTTGATTAGGTGTACAATTATTTTTTCGCCTTTGCAAAAAGAAAAACAATTTAAAAATTAGTGTAAAAATATTATTTTCTATATAGATCATGATAAGATTTTCATTGTTCTGTTACTCTCACCTCGTTTTAGACATCCAATCTCCTTTCTACAGAGACACAAAGCTATAAGTATCACAATTAATAAAATCAGTAACAGGCAGCCAGTGATGACCCAAGAAAGAACCACATTCTCATCTTGTTCTTCACACTGAGCATCAGTTGTAGCATTTCCTGGTCTTATCAGCTTAAGGTTTAGTGACTCACATCTGGAAGGACAGAGAGACACTTTACAGGAAAATGTACAGATGTGCCACAATCACTGGTGCTGGAGGAAATCAGATGTGTCTGTATCTGCTGTGAAGCTTCACTTACGGTCTGTGTGGCCGGCAAAACTTTAAAGTTCCATCTGAAAATGTCCCATAGCTGCACACAGAGCACTCAGTGTCTCTGAAGGCTGTTCCTGCATCAACACGAATATGCACCATTTTCAGCATGTACATCATGAAGGATCAGTGAGTGACTGTGACATCAGAGTAATTATATGTGTCTAATGACAACCAGTTTAAAATACATCTAAAAACATTTCCTTGTTTCAGTTTTTAAATTTGATCTTTCTGAGTTCATTCATGTGGTGGAGTGATGGAGAGCAGCTTTACTACAAAGTAATAACACCATATTGAGAAACCACTGCAAGTATGCAACAGAAATATTATTCCATCCAGTTTATTTACACGTAAGCACAAGAATACAACCTGCTTGGCTGATGTATTCTCCTGGGTTACAGGGTTTGTGTTCTTGTGCTTCCACACAGTGAACACCGTCATAGTCAACACAGTAGAATCCATCCCGTGGTTCACAAATTGTATCTGATGTTGTTGTGCATGCCCTCTTTTTCTTCACATTTAAATCTGTGAGCACGTAGAGAGGACGCATGTTAGACAGGATGCTAGGGATTGGGAAAGAACGAGGCAGAGAGGTCACTGCTGTGGTGATATTATGATGTCATTCATCAAAAGTGACTTATGGTGTTTTTCCTGCTTAAAATTAGACACTATAACAGTGATCAACATTTAATCAATTATTTTAAAATTACTGATATATTAAAAGTTTGTAATAATTGTCAGATTGAACAATTGAACATTTTAATTCAGAAAAAAATATTTATAGAAAACATCAATGAAATCGATGCTTCCTTTTACTTTGATGTAAATCTAAAGTACGGTATATTATCTGTAGGCAACATCATATCGTAGAGGGTAAGAATGTCAAATCAAAGCAATAGGACCCTTATAACAATCTTTACTGAATTTCCCGGAGGAACCTAAAGAGCACGAGGAAATAAAATAAAATGTTCTGTCTGTCTGTCTATCTAACACTTTTAATTCTTATACAGCAGTAACAGCTTCACTAGTTTCATAAATAAGAAATATGAATAAAAACCTACTTAGGTCACAGATTGTGCAGTGAGTGCATTGTTTGAGTCCGCTGGGCTTATCCATGTGGGTTCCATCCTCGCAGGCCACACAGGAAGTGTGTGCAGTCTCTGTGCAATCTGTCTTGACTCGATTTCCTGTTATAATAGAAAAAAGCAGACTATTTTCAATACATGTCGCTGTTACTCATCTAAACTGTGAAACATTTAGAGTTATAAAGGTATGAAGTTGAACTTTCACATATAGAGAGACAGTAAAGAGCAGGAGGGAAATCAGCCTCTAACATTCAGCTGGCTCTTACCTGCAGGACACTTTGAACAGCACAGGCCTTGTGCTTGATACATTGTTGAACGACATGATTGAGTGAGGACACTGAAGACTTTCATCATGATTATCTGAAAACAAAGAAGAAGAACAAAGAATACATTTAAAAGTAGAACTAGGCTTCAAACTGAGAATGGCTCGACTAACAGAGAGCAGCAGGAGGTGGAAAAGAAGAAAGATATGAAATGAAATGTGCAACAACCTGAAAATGAGAGCTGATGAGTGAAGAAGGAAGATAGTGATGACAGCATCAATTTAAATGAAAAATAGACAGTACAGGAGGAAATTCTAGCATGTAATTCACACAGTGATGCAGATGTGAGTCAGAAAATGTTGACGGGGTTACAAAATAGTTTACCAGCAACACTGCAGCTGTCAAAGAATTTCCTCCTGAAGTCATTTTATATGGCAGAATGAAGACTTTCCTGAACTGAAGACCGTCTCACTGAGATTTGTAAGGAGATGAGCTGTATGATCTAAAACAGCAGGAGAACATCTGAAAAAAAAATGTAAGTGAGCAGCAGGAAACCTGGTTCATGTGGATAAAAAGTTAAATGTTTATGATTCAGGGTAAAAAATTGACTTGCTTTTTGTTTTTTGTTTGATTGTTTTTTTAAATTGTTTTTTTTATAATGAAAGAAAAAAGTATTTAAAGGAATAACCTGGTGGTTTGCTTACAGTGCTTAACAAATATATTAGAACAGAGATATTTTAGAGATCTGTCAAAAAAAACTAAAACTAAAACTTATATTCTTTATTATCAAACAAATAACAAACTAAATTCACGATTTTACACCCACATTTGAGCTGACACGCTTTACTTCACTGATATTATTCATAAATATTATCCAACCACTAAAACCAGCTATTCTGTAAGTAAACAACTATAATTTGGATTCTAACGTAAAACAGTATACTTTAAAATTCATGGAAAACAACAATATGTGGATTTCAGCATTAAAATGTGACTTTTGCTTAAAGAGGTTGTACATACTGATGTAGTAACCATGAGAGAAAATTAAAATAATTATCATTAGTGTTAATTTAGGGCAGATGTGGCACAAACGTTAGAGCACACGAGGAAATAAAATAAAATGTTAACATTTTTTAAATGTAGATCAAGGCTTGAAAATATGTATTTCCCTCACAAGCTCCATGCTATTGTAAAGATATAACAACATTTAAAAGGAACTTTTTCTTGAGGAAGTCAAAATGTAGTTAATTTATAATCAGTTCAGAATTTAAAGTTAGAGTTTGTTAAACGTGCCCTCTGGAACATGGCCCTAGTGTTTGTTTTGTATATTATGCAGAGTTCATATAGAAATTATAGATGGCTGCCGTGCCTACATATCAGCCTAAGTCCTAATCACCAAAG